CCCATTCGAGATGGTGTGACCAAGATTACAGATATCTGGATCCAACCGATAATCTTAACGTTAACCAATACAGATCTGGTTTTTTTGAAATCATCATCCGTGAGATTCAAACTCTAGACCTGCCATTTGGGGGTGCGACAACTCCACCACTTCACTAAGTCACCACACCCTTCTAAATAATTTATTCGAATCACTCATATCTATAGTTAGATGAAACTTTTTGCATGGTGACTAAAGACGAAACCTAAAACTGGTGAAAGGCGAAAGGCAAACCTTTTATAAAATCCCAAATCTCTAATAAAAGGCAAAACCTAAAATCAGAAATGACTAAATATATACCGTATTTTCGTGGAATAACGCTCATCTGCGCGTTATTTTGAGTATATGCGCGTTATTTCGAGTACGCGCATGCGCGTTAATTTGAAATAAAGATTGATTTTTGCCAATCCTGATTTTCAAAATAACGCACATATGCGTTATTTTGAAATAAGTATGTATGGATAAAATTTCTAAATATGACCATGTGTGTTATACTGTATAATCTAAATTCGTTAAGTTTTGGTTTTTTCTTGGCACTAACTAATTTTAAAGCTAGTTAAAAGTTGCTTTTATTTAGCTCAATTTTATTATAAAAAACGCAGTTGTTTATTACTATTTATTTTAGATTTAGTTTTAATGTTGTTCAAATCTTTTAACATTAAGAATGCGAAACATGCATAATTTCAATCTTAAAAAAATTTAAAGTGACAGAATGGTAGTAGAACTTTCTTGAATAAAGCATGAATAGATTTGATTAGAGGCCCAGCTTTAATTAATGCAAGGTTTAATGATTTAAGCTATATATTTGACTCTACTTATCAGAATTTCCCCTTTCTAGTTTTACCTTGTTCTTTTTTTCTTTTATTAAAATGCTATCTTGTTGTATCTGAGTTCTAATTAATCGGTCTCTCAGATTCTTATGACGTTGATCAAAAAGTTTATCAATTATTTATTTTAAATAAGGAAGTTGCACTTAATTTTTGAATTTACTCTCTTTCTTGAAAGACCAAAGACCAATTCACGACAATTTTATTTAAAAAAAACTTAGTGTAAGTACTGTGCGATGTAACTACTACTATTACTTTTTAGAGCATTGCTTAGAGAATTTGCGCTATTCGATTAGGTTATATCTCGATCCTTTCCACAATTGTTCCTTATAAAGGCTGTGTTTTCACGCAATAACGCCTACCTGCTATTTCAGGAGCCAAAGTATATTTATCGTTATCTATTGAGGATTTTTTTTCTCAACGAATAGCCAAATTGCCAACCCTATGTTCACGGCGTAAATATTTCAAAAACTATCAACTTAATAAAGTAATTTGTTGTATTTTAATATGATACTTGTTTACACTTTGTTTCTATAAGGAGTGTGGCTTTTGGAATTCTCTTCTATATATTAGGTATGCACGTACGTATATACGTTAACAATAGGGCGCCTTTATGAAATTTCTAAAATCGTAATTTCCATTTTTTCTTGGCATAATTTACAAACCCTACTGGTACCAGTACTACAGTACTATATATATATGTACCGGTAACTATAGGTTTTCTTGAAACTATTTAACTCCCTATTTTCTGTTATTTTTTTTTAGAAGAATGTTTATCGTTATTCTTACAATAATTTATTTACAACACTGCTTTCAAAATGTTATTACCATTACTAATAATTCGCTATCAAGAAAGTATGGAGAAACTTATTGTATAATAAACAGATACAAAGAACCATTTAAAGACTTAACTGAGTCATCAAAAATTGAATCAAATATGGCCTTGAAAAATCGTGAAGTAACTTATGGTGTGGTATGTATGCAATTTTTTTTTCTGTATCACGAATGTGCACGATATAAAATGTAACGTTATTCTTATTAGCTTTGGTGCACAAGTTGTTTACTTTATTTGCAAGCGAACATGAATACAAAACGAAGTTTTACCATTGCGTTCAAGCTTGAAGTAATCTCGTATGCAGAAGAAACCTCTAATCGTAAAGCTTCTCTGTTTTACAAGGTTCACCGAAGGCGTGTTCAAGAGTGGCGCAAGCAGAAAAAGGAGTTCGAAAAAATTAGAAATAATAAAGATTTAAATATAGAACAAGTGCGGGTTCTTGAGGGTCGTGGCAAGAAAGCAGCATACCCTACGTTGGAAAAAGAACTGGTAGAATTTATTAAAAAAAGGAGAGAAGAAAAAAGCACAGTAACAACTTCAATGATTATAAAAGAAGCCAAACGTTTAAGTGAAACCATGGATATTAGGGATATGAAGTTTTCGCGTGGTTGGGCCGAACGTTTCAAGCAACGGCATAAATTGGTAAAATGCACTCGAACACAGATAGCACAGAAGGTCCCTGAGGATAAGCCATTAATCGTTCAAAATTTTCTAAAAACTTCACGTGAAAAAACACGTACCATTGAAAAAAAATATATTATATCTTTTGATGAAACCTCTATGTGGTTTGACATGTCACGGGATTCGACAATCAATTTCAAAGGTACCCGTGAGGTGCCAATTAAAACCACGGGCAATGAAAAACTACGATTTACAGTAGTTTTAGGTTATACAGCGGCCGGGGAGAAACTCCCACCAGCAGTAATCTTTAAATTGAAAAAAAAACCAAAAGGCAGATTTCCGCGAGATGTTGTAGTGGCAGTGGCGCCCTCTGCAAATATGACTTGAGAATTAATGATTTCTACATACATTCCACGAGTCATCAGAGCTAGGCCTAATGGGTTTTTTGATTTTTTATTTTAATACTGTTATTATATATTTGGAACACTGTTTTAGAGAGGGTAATACTAAAAAAACACATTTCATGTGTTTTTTTTGGGGTTCGTTATTACCCTCTCTAAAACAGTGTTCTGCGTCGCAGAACTAGATTGTAATACAATTATTGATAATAAAATTTATGTTAAAAAGACATCTTTATTATGTTTGAAAGGCTTATACAACACAACAACGTCATCTACAGTCTTTAAAACTTCTAGAACAAAAATGCGTTTATGCCTGCAATACTTGAACGCAGATCTTGTAATTCCAGCATTCCCCGCAATAAATCTAATATCATTTTTAGCAATAACACCTTCCTCTAAATCATCTTTAACAACCTTTTTCACGTGTTTCAACTTTATTTTCTTCTTGGGTTTCAAGATTCTACCCACACAACTACGATCAAATTCACTTAAAGGATTTAATTTTCCAAACACATGATAATATTCAGACCACAAAAATTGCGTCTCTGAATCATTCTTGTCAATATCTGAATGACCTTTGAGTTTCTTATAAACCTTTCTTGTTGTTTGAAATATCTTCATTTCTTGCGATTCAAAGTCAATTGAATCATCCTCTTCTCGTTTGCGTTTTAGATTTTGTGAGCTTTGAGAACAGCTCTTCTCTTCCTAAAAATACAATAAAATGTTAGACACGATCACATCTAAGCAAGTAATTTCATACTCGTTACTAGCATAAATATTAGAAATATCATCATCACTAGTTACTTATTCATATATCAAAATGATTAACAAGATAATACATCTTCAGCGAAATACTACTTTGCACTTGCCTCACTTTCATATAGAGTCTCGAAAAATTCTTGTTGATTAGATGAAAATTTATAATAGTTTGACATTTTGTGTTTGAACCAGAATTCTCAGGGCATTTTTATTGAAAACACAATCCGGATAAATGAAAATTTGAACTCAACAAGCACCAATAAGATGATTTAGATGACTAATTTGAATTACTAATTGATCAACAAAATCATATGATGTTTCTGATTAAGAATGAATCTAAATTTAATGTTGTTCTTATCTGATCAACAAAGAAACGAATGAAAATAATCCAATAGAATGAGTCTTGATTTGGTCAATTGATACTGTTATCTGATAAACATGTGTGATGACATGGTCATATGCAAGCCACATGCACCAAATAGCGTTCACCAAACTCTCTATTCAACCTAATTTTGGAGTGACAAACAATATCCGTATGCAGTCTTATTCTCTTTCGTTCGATTCTAAGTATAAGATCAACCGTTTTTGCGGTAGGCAACTCCCAATTTTTCAAAAATTTTTGCAAAAATTTTACAACTTTCACAGATTTCCAAAACCTCTGATTTGCATGTTTCTTCTTTTTCTTATCTATATACTTTTGTTGATCGACACAACCATGTCATATTTTTTACAATCTAACAGATTTCTATCCAATCAGCAAGAGTTGTACCCAGAAAGATTGGGTAGTTGATTTTCTTCACTACAAGTAGAAGATTCTGTCACAGAATCTATGCCAGATGCTCCTCCAAGTTATCAAGAGGCTGTGGCAGAAATGCCTACGGGCTCATTTTCTACTGCTACTTCAGATATTTAAGAGAGCATATTTTTATTGTTTCAATCTTCAAATTTTTGCTCAAGTCCACTTCAAAATCTAACAAAATCATCAAATCAAATAAAAAATTCAAAATGTCTTCTCAATTCAATGTTGGTTTAAATGAAATTGACCAAATTACAGTTACTGAACATCAAACAGAAGGTAATTTTAATTTTGATTATTATTTTATTTTATTTTTTTAATAATTTTATTTTATTTAGATATTGCCGATACTCATTTTATTCTTTCAAGATTTACACACGAACTCAATATCTTGAAAGATAAAATTAAATCTTTAGAAAAAATGTTAAATTTATTAAAAATTATTATTTTTATTTTACTTTTTATTGGAGTTATTATATTTATTGGTTTTGGTGCATATATTTATTATACACAAGATACACATCTTCTTAATGAAAATCTTATAAGACGAGAAGTTGAGACAAATTTGAGAATAGAAATGTATAATGATATGGTAGATAGACTTGTTGAAGATTTATTATCAACAAAGATTCAGAAACGAATGTAAGGAGAATAGACAGTTGAGCTGTTTGTTTTCTGATTGATTTTCTCTGTTCACGATGTGTGTGAAACTAAATTTTCAGTTTCATACACATCTTGAACAGAGAAAATTACACTGTAATCTATATTTATTTTCTTATTTTATTTCTTTATTTAATAAAATTTATTGAATTATTTTATTAATTTGTTTAAAACTTTACGTCTTTCTATGCTATTTTGTCTTAAAAGTTCTTTAAAAAGTGTTTCTAATCTGAATATGGGTGGAATTAACTTTGGTTTGTAATGAAACAAATATGGATTAAATTTGTGAAAGTGTGCTGATGTTGCTAAATTTTTTACTAATTGGTTCTTGTTTTCTGCTCTAAAAATATCATCACGCATCTTTTGATACTTTACATAAACACAATTTGTGTCTTTTATCTTGTATTTTTTACATTGTGTTAAGATGATTACTATCTCTTCTAAGAAGACTCGATAGAGCATTGGATCATGTAAATTAATTTTTTGTTTTATAGCTTCAAGATTATACTCTTCTTTCATTATCGACTTGAACTCTCTGTTTAACCATCTTGGTAGACGTCTAGTTTGATTTTTTGTTTGTTTGTTACGTACTGGTGCTAAAACTTTTCTTTCTTTTGCTTTATCTTCTATCAGTTTGTAATAGAATTCCAACTTTGTGATTTTGATCAACAATCTAGGATAATCTGCATAAAGATGTGGTTTGAACTGATATTGACTATATTTTAACGAAAGATCGATCACAAACTGGTCTTTGTCTTAAGATTCATCAATCTCTAACATAATTTTTCGATACTTCTTTACCACCTTATTATCATCTTTTAACTTGTAGAAATAGCATGCTTGAAGTATCTCGATTAAAACCATTGTGAATTTTGTGTGTAAAGAATCATCGTTAATTGAAATATATGTTTGAAAATGGCATTTGTTTTGTTCAAGATAGTCCCATGTCTGATCTTTTTTATTCATGTTTGTTTGGTTTAATCAAAGGAGGGGAAATTTAAGTCTTTTATAGTTTTTTTAAAATTTGATTTTGTAATTTATCGCCTTTTGTTTAGCTATTTCATCATCAAATTCACCTTTAAAGTACTTTCTAATCCTTTTTTTTGCTATAACTCTTTCATAAACCCATAAATTTTTATGCTTGTAGTAAACAATATTTGATGTTCCGGATACGTTTAATTTGTGTAATTTTTGCATCATAACTTAAATAGTATTAGAACAACAATCAAGATATTTATAATAAGTAAACAACGGACACAGCCGAACTCCGTGTTCTTACGTTGTAGCGAACGTGTCATTCTTAGACCAGCAACTGGTCGCGTCCGGTTAAAAAAAAAAGTGGTTGGCGTGGCTTACGCCGTATTGGTAATTGATAATATGTAAAATGCTCTGTTAAAAACAGTTTATAAAAATATTTTAACAAAATCTATAGCATCTGACGATGCGTCTAGCGAATCGATCCTGGCCATTTGAGGCCAGGCTCGCCACGCGTTAAACCTAAGCCTTGATGCATAGCCGCCTCAAGGTTGTGCGAGCTGGAGGCCAGCTCGTGTTATTAACAATTGAAACAATCTTCTGTAAAATTAACCGTATGTTTATTAAAATTTAATCATAATCTGATGAAATTACACTGCTATTTGTTTCAACATCAACTTCCATATGCTCAACAAACTCTTTCTCTGCACCTTCTAATGCCAGATCTTGAACAAATTTACTACAATTTTCTTGAAATGTTAATATAATCTTACCAGGTCTTAACTCAAAAAGCTCATCAATTCTTATAAACAAATTTTTATTTTGTATATTGTTTTTCCAATTATTTTTTTTCCAAGAAGGAATAAAGAGTTTCTAAGAATTGATAAAATAATAACTATCTGTTCTAATTTCTAAAGGACTATATTCATCTTTACATGATTCTAACACACGAATAACAGCATAAATCTCTGAACTTTTCTTATTTTGCAAACCTCTCTCCGATACAACTACATCAATATTTTCAAAGTTGATTCTGATACCGGCTTTTGAATTGTTAAAAATACTTGTTACTTCAACAATTATTCTGGTTGAACAAGCAAAAAATCTGTTCTTGAATAGAGTTTTTAACTCACAACTTTTCATGAAAAGTTGCACTTCTTTTTTGTCAGTAAACTTTTTATTTCTTGTCACGGAATTGTTAGAGATTTGTTCTTTACATTCTTGCCAAGACATGTAAATCCCAAGAGTTTTTCCAACATAAACAACATAGAATTTATTCATATTTATATTATAAAGATAAATAAAAATAATTAAAGGAGATAAATATATATTTATTATTTATAAATTATGGGAATAAAGAAGCCGGTTTGAAAAGAAACTAAAATAACCAGATTAAACGCGTAAAGAACCAATTATATTCATGATGACAAAGATAATTTGCAAAGATTTGCAAAGGAAAAAGTTTATTTAACGGCAAGAATTTTGACAGAGAAAACCCCAATTCTCTTTTGAATTTTACAAACACAACATATTCAAAACACAATTATACAAGATGAAATTCTTTAAAAAACTCTTAAAATGCTTCAAGAAATCCCAAAAACAAGAAGATAGCTGGGACAATATTTGTGTCAAGGTTGAATCTTGGTCGACAAGTTCGACTAGCGATAAAGAAAATTCTCTTGAAACCACCTTACCACTTGTTGAATTTGACAATCAATTCTCTGTAATTGATCTGAAGTTTTACACAAGATATGAAGAATATCTTGATGATGTAAAAAGAGAAGAGCCTGAAAAGTATGAGAAATTCAAGATGTACTTTTCATTCTTGAATGCGCATGTAAGAAGTTATCATAACCTATTTCATGATGCGTGTTGGTATTATCGAGATAGTTAGGACTTGTTGCTCTGGAGACAGAAGCAATATGAAGAAGATTTTTAGTACACAATAGGTGTTTTGAATAAAAATTTTAGTCATATTTACCTGTTGGACTATAACGATTTGTTGGATTATGCTGAAAATAATTTAGTATTTTAAACGTATTTTTTGTAAATATTGTATTATATATTTAATTTTTTGTAAATAAAACATGTGATTTTACATAAAATTTCTGGTATGTTCTATGATCAACATGATTGCGTATTTTTATTAATTCAGATTTAGTGATCTGATAGTGATGCATGTGCAATTACGTAAGCGGATGTGACACATTCGGTTGATCAACGCTACAAATACCTGCGATTTATGCCCAATTTTGCATTTCACCCTTTCGTCCGTGGTTTTATTCAGAGAGATGGTGAAGAACACCCGCATCTTAATATCTGAACAGGGAGAAGCGTAGTCTCTTGTAAGAGAGATGAACACGATATGTGGCAGCTAAATGACGCATAAGATAACCATCTGTTTAGTGAAGCATACTCACATTTTTCTGGTTGACATGGACGAAAAGGTCAAACTTTTTTACTTTCCTTCAAAAATCCAACGAGAACGTAGTTGTGTATCCTAGTGCTTTTCTTGCTAAAACAATGACCGAAGTTGCTGGTATTTCTTCAGTAGTTGGTCGTTTTGGGTAAAGCTTCTCTGTAACTCCTGCGTGTGGTTATGTTTCTCGTACGTTTTGCGTGAAAAACAAAGATCTAGTTCAGAAGCGCTACTTAGAATTTACTTGATGTTTTGGGAGAATCTGGTCTACCGAAACGATATTAACGAAACAATTTTCTTACAAATTTTGATGGTCGGCTCGGATGAGTTGGCTCTTCTTTCTTGCGGTTCACTCTTTTAGGCTTTGGGGAGCTGAACCTAAACTACAAAAGTCAAACTTTTTATAAGAGTTTTACGATCAAGGGATATGACAATGAGGTCTGAAAATACGGCTTCGAGTCTGGTGGCTGTTGTGTCTCTCACCAGTTATTCTCAGAATAGCCAAAGTTATTCTCAGAATAGATTGTTTGCTCTTCCTTTTGTTTTTGAGCTGCTGTGATAATGAACCTTCCCACGGTGCAGCTTGAATGTTTTGTTTATTTGTTTAAGCAAAATAACCAATACATTATCAAATTTTTATTTAATTTTAATAAATATATCGCAAAACAAATCTTCAAAAAGATATACAGAAAATTTTATAAATAAAAACAATAATTTTAATTTTGAAATGTTAATTGACCAAAATAATTCAGATAATTTAATATAAACAAAAATTATACAGGAATGGCATTTTCGTGTGAAGTTTGCCATAGATGGAAGAGAAAATGCATACAAATTAAAGGATCTGAAATATGCAAACATTGTAAAGAACGAAATAAAACATGCATCCGATACAAGCCTTCAAACCCTTTTGTTAAGATAATACAGTTAACAAAACAAGTTGAAGAACAAAATATACAGATTATTGAGTTAAAAAAGATTAATTCAAAGTTAAAAGAAGATTATAAAAAAATAAAGGCAAATCTAATTGCAAGACAAGTACTTGATCGTGATATGGAACATATCTTAGAATAAATTTTTATTAAAAAAAATTAATAATTTTTAAGAATATCAATAAAAGATTGCCAAATGTTCTCTCTATGTTTTCGGCGCCAGATGAATTCTAATAAATGTTTTTCAACCTTGTCTTGATTTCTATTTCTTTTAGCAATTATTGTCTTTAACCCTGACCATGTTCCTTCAATTGTGTTTGTGTGAATTCTAAAAGTTTCCGATACATTTCTTGAGTGATTTACCCTTCTGTGAATAAGATTTAACCCTTCAAATTGATATCCTTTCCATGAATCAGTGAACACAAATGATTCTTGTTTTATATGTTTTTTAATGATTCTTCTTAACATGGCTGTATTTCTATCTTCAACAACAACAAAAAAACATTTCTGTTCTTTGGTTCTTTCCACATCTCCAACTACCCAAAAATCCTTATTTCTCTTGAACTTGCTCTCATCTATCTCAACGATGATATCTTTTTCACCAATAATCATGTCATCCTCCTCCAATGTGTTGATTACTAGATCTCTGAATATTTTGATATAATTTACTATTGTGTTAGGTGAATGATTTGTCATTAAACTAATAGATGTATAATTGATTTTTGATAACCAAAAATATGCTAATAACAGTATATCTGAACTAATTATATGATGTTTAGCAAAAAATGAATCTTTGTAAATAGAAATTGCTTTATGACAGTTTAGATTTTTACATCTAAATAGTTTTTTATTTTGACGTAATTCTGCACTACAATACGAACATTGAGAAGGAGTTTGAACAATATTGTTTGAGAGTAAAAAATTAATACATGTTTTTTCTTTCAACAAAACTTTATAAATTTGTTTAATATTTGGTAAAGACATAATAAAAATATTTTTATTTATAAAATTTAATACAATAAATATATTTATATAATAATAAAAATAAATTTACTTAAATAATCTTTTTAACTGTTTAAATTCAGGATTATCTTTGTTTTTTTGTTCAAAATTTTTAGAAATATTATTATCTATATGCTTGCGTTTCTTAGTATTTTTTGGTTTATCTTCAGAAACATCAAGCTCAATACCCGATTCGTACAATTCTGATTCTGACAAAAATTCTTCTGGATCTTGTAATTTGTTGTTTAATTCTACGTAATTTGACTGAATTCTAGCTTGTTCAAGATCTGCTGATTCTTTTTCTGCTATTAAATTTTTAGTAACGGAATCAACAACTGATTTGCCTTTCTTTTTTCTACGTGTATAATCTGAATCATCTGAACTAATATTACTAAAATCTGAATTATTAGAAAAAAAATCTAATAATTCTTTTTCTTCAATATATTTTCGTTTATGTGAGATGCTGGATTCAATTTGAGGATCTGTATTTTCTATTAAATTTTGTGAAATAACTTGTTGTGATTGTGATTCACACTCCATACGGTATTTGAAAAGCTCTCGACTCCTTGGATAATCCTGCAGATAACGACGCTTGAACTCTGGAAACTTACGACGCCAATACACCATGTGACCAACCACAACATGCTCTCCTTCGATACCTTTGTTAAGAATTTTACTCTTCTCAATGACTTCTGCTGGAGTATTGCAACCATTTCTATACTTGATGTCCCAATTCATGCTACGAAATTGCTCCTCGGGT